TCCGGCGACCGCATTCCAGATCTCCATACACACGACCGCACTCCATTAAACACGAAGATGCTCCTTTTGCGCCCTGGCCTGCACTCAGCACGCCAATCGCGCTGCGTCCTTTGCTGACATTTTCCTGGCCCAGCGAACGACGGTTGGATATGCGGGGGCGAGTTTCACATCGTAAAACATTCGCCATTCACCCACCATTGCTGCCATGTCCACCGCTGCAATACTGTCCAACCTTTAATAGCAGGGGAGAGAGAAGCTTCCGCCGGCGAGAAGAAACTTCTGTCTGCCGACCCTGGCTGGAAACTTCCGTGAGAATATCCTGGGAATAACCCGACGGGCTATTGTTGTGCTGCCGCAGCGCACTGGCTTCAGGACAGGCCTCTAAACGGTCGCTTCATCCCTCCATTCCTTCTGCGTGAGCCCCCTCATCGTCATGGCATGCGTCATCCAAGCATTTCGTTTTGCGTTTCAGTGCTCCGTTATCATCCACGCTCAACCAAGCTCCAAGTTGCTCAGCCGTCTGGTTTATGTGCGGGTCCCCTCCATGAAGTGCGTCGGCTAAAACTACCAATACTCGCCGCCCAAGCTACCACAAGATTTGCTCAACTCTCACAAACCCTCGCGGCCTTGTCACTCGCTAGGCGCGCAGATCGCAGATCGCAGGTCCACCTATTATTGTCGCTAGGGACGGCATCGTGCGACCATGGTGCGAGATCAAAATAAGTCAACACTTAACCACTGCATCGGGTGGGTACATGAGCCTTCAATACCCTAGGCCGGCACCATGCAACGGCCTCACTACCAGTGGGTAAGCACTGCGCAGACACGAATTTCTTCAGCAAGGCTCATTTGATGCCTGGTGCGAGACGTCTAAGCATGCGACTACTGCTGCACGCTTTTCATCACGCACACAATCACGCTTCGCATCAACATCGCTTCAGAGTCGTGGCGTAAAACTTTCGATCCGACGAAATTGCGCGGCGATCCCAGTGATGTTGAAAGTTATTACTGCTGAATTCATGCTTGCCTTGCTGGTATCCAAGCGATCGAGATTGTTCGAAACAAAGAGCCGCCGCGAAACTTTGGAAGTCCGGCACTGCCACGCCTCCAGAGCATAATTGACCGGCATACGTAGTCGCTGACCAAATTCATCTCGCGCAGCCCCTATGCCTTAGTGAGCGGCCCCTCCCGTTGACATCAATCGCACACATTACAACCTTGGAATCTTGTAAAAGGTTCACGGAGGTCCCGGTAACGCCTCAACTTGTAACACTCATCTTAACAGTGATCTCACTGTAGCAAGCTTTCGAGCTTGGACTGTTGGCTTTTGGCGATGGTTATAGCTTCCACGTCAACTGACGAAGTCAGAGTCACCAAAAAGCTATGGCGTCAACAGCGCATACTCACACGACTGCAATGAATCAATAATGCATCGCACTGATGAATCGATGTCCATGGGCTTTACACGCCATCGGAAATGAAGAGCTCTAATTTGCAGACATCGGGAGCATCAAACTCGAAAACTCCAAGAAACCCAACAAGTACGGGAGCCACCGTCGTTCAGTACTCTGTCCTCCTGTACCTTGCACTCAAGCATATTCTACACGACGATCCGCGGCATCTTCAATACAGCGAGAAAGTCAAGCAAAATCGATACTTGGCTGCAAGCACCGAACGCAGTCAAACACCTTCCGCCAAATCAAGACAGGAGCGGGAAGCACAACCTCAGAACGGTACCAAAAGCGAAGACACTCCTGGCGCAGGATATGACCTTTCGAAAGGTAGGCAAGCGACGGCGCTCGACAAGCCCTCCTGCCGACCACACAAACAGAGACGACGCATTCCCCAAGCCGATCAGGCTTGCCTAATCGAAACTAAGCCCAGAGACCCAAGACTACATGTCTCCAAGACAGAAATGAGCGAGGCATGGGCTCGAATGCGCGCAGTTTCTAGGTCACCAGAAAGCTCTGTTGGCCCGCACTCAAGAGGGAACAAAGGGAAGCAGCGAGAAAAGAACGTACGATGGGGCATGGTACAGACCCACCAATTCGAGTCGGATGATGAAGCACACGGCAGAGAGCTTTCTCCACGAGAAAGTCTTCTAGAAGGGGCGTCAGAGAGAGAAATGCAGGCCAGACGCGATCATCGAGCGTCTGGCGCGGCAGAAGGAGATCGCGGTCGCAGGAACCGACGGAGGGAAGAAACGGATAGATTGAGCGATTCACATACCAACTAGTTCTTATACCAAATCTAAGTTAATTTTTTTGTCCACACCACACTACATCTTTCAGACAAGGTGGCAGTCTGGGTGACAGCAATGTGGTAAATTAGTCATAGCAAACAATCCAAAAGTAATAGCCAGCGCGACTCGCCAGGCTTGTACCCCCATTACTTAGCTTTGAACGTTAAAGCAAATGAGTCGATCTGGTCGACTCGACAGTGGCGTGGCTGCTGTCCCAAAAGCGTTAGAGCTGCCGGCTAGCACTTTCCCCACACTCAGTTGTACCATCCTTGTCAACCGCCACTCATCCCCGCCCTGCGTTACGCCCGTAATGCTCCCTCATGGGCTGAGCGAGGCTTACAGAAGCATCAAGTTATACGGCCGTAATGGTCTCATGAATTCACACTCACCCCGGGCAGTGTGACGACTGCACGCATGGATCAGGCCGATGTTGTACTACCTCGGGACAGGACGCTCGGGTATGTAGTCACTGAGGGGGAGGGGACGCGAACTACTTCGGACCCGGTAGCTATCGACGCGATCATTCGCTGGATGGCAATGATGGTACTACACCATGCCATATGATCGTCGGCAAGAAGCCCCTGCGGCGGGTTCTTGGGGTAGGCTTTATCTCGTGGCTCCACTCGTCCGTTCGCCCTTCTCAAATGTTTCTACATCCAATCCGTTTCTGCCATTAAACGTTCCCTTCTAGCACAGACCCTTGAAAGAAATCACCTCCAGCAAGATGGGAGGATCGCAGCCATGGCCACAGGTTCCGGTCGGAAACAAGGACCACACTGATGCTGCAGTTGTTATTATCGGAGCGGGTATCTCTGGTAAGCACTTCAATGACCATCTAATTTCCATCATACTAACATCACTGAGGAATGTGTATGGCGATTGACCTCATCAAGCGAAACCAATGTCACAACTTCATCATCGTAGAGAAGAGCTCTAGTGTCGGCGGCACATGGCATGACAACAAGTACCCCGGCTGCTGTTGCGATGTCTGGAGTATGCTATACAGTTATTCCTTCGAACAAAATCCAGATTGGACGAGAGAGTATCCGGGACAAGAGGAGATACTTGTACGTCTTTCTCTCATATCTACCTCATATTACCAACACTAACGTTTGCTGCAGGATTATCTCCGCAACGTAGCCCGCAAGTACAACCTGTACAAATACATTCGTTTCAACACATCCGTCGAAGCCGCAACGTGGGACGACTCGAAGAACCGCTGGAAGGTCGACGTGAACGTGACTGGCGGCAAAGATGCAGAGTTCAACCCCGCTTACAGCATTGAGTGCGACTTCCTGGTCTCAGCTGTCGGTCAGCTCAACCAGCCACAATACCCCGATATCGAGGGTTTGGAGAACTTCAAGGGCAAGATCATGCATTCAGCGCGATGGGACTGGAGCCACAGGCTTGAGGGCAGGAGTGTGGGCATTATTGGCAACGGTATGCGCAATAGCATTTGTTTGGAGGAACGAACACTGACAAAGACACAGGTGCTACCGCTGCTCAGATCATTCCAGAAATCTTACCGCAAACCTCGTCCCTGACCATCTACCAACGATCCCCGAACTGGGTCATCCCGCGTCTCGATGGCCCCGTTAGCGCCCTCAAACGTGCCGTACTGCGCTATCTACCCCCAGTTCGCTGGCGCATACGCAGTTCCATGATGGATTTCAGGGAGTCCTTCCACGACGCCGTCACGGATAGCAAGAGCGAGTTTGCAGAAGTGATTCGAAGTAGTTGCATGGAGATGATGAAGACACAAATCCCCGACCAGCCTTCACTGTGGGAGAAACTCACTCCAAACTACAGCCCAGGCTGCAAACGAGTCATCATATCTGACGACTACTACCCCGCCGTAGCCAATCCCAAGACAACGCTTGAAACAAACAAAATCCGTCGCATCACAGAAACCGGCATCGAACTCGAAGACGGCACCCTCCACGAGCACGACACCATCGTCCTCGCAACCGGCTTCCGCACAGTCGAATTCCTCCACCCCATCAAAGTCACCGGAGCCAATTCGCGCCCCTTGGCAGACATCTGGTCTTCCGGTGCTACAGCCCTCTACGGCACTACCATTCCCTATCTCCCCAACTTCGGTCTTTTCTACGGCCCCAACACAAACCTAGGCCACAATTCCATCATCTTGATGATCGAAGCACAGTCTCGCTACCTCAACACCCTCGTTTCAGCCGTCCTCGATGCGCGAAACCGCGGTCAGAGAATGGGCATCATGCCCAAAGAAGACAGGACGCATGAGTGGAACGAAGGAATCCAGCAGATCTTGAAAAACAGCAGTTTCGCCGACCCGAACTGCATGTCGTGGTATAAGAACAAGGAGGGGCGGATTACCAACAACTGGTCCGGGACGGTCGTCGAGTACCAGGAGCAGCTTGCTAAGATCGATTGGGAGGATTTTGAAACCACGGCTACTACTGATGAGGAAGAGAAGGATACGAGTGCGACTGCTACTGGCGGTGTCAGTGCGAGTAAAGTCGTTTTCGGGACGGGCAAGCAGGAGACGAAGATTGGTAGGGTGCGCGAGGAGACGCTGGTGAGTAACACGACGTTAGTGCTTGGGACGCTGAGTGCAGTCGCTGCGGGTGCGGCGTGGGTCTATCGGGGTAAGCTGCCTAAGAGACTTGGGCTGCGAACTTGAAAACGCGACCCGAGACGTAGTTGCTATGTACAAATAATATTAGAGTAACATGCGCGACATACGATTGCCTTATTCATCCGACCTTAACTCGTCATCACCTCAAAACCCCTGCCTCTTCCTCCACTTCCCCTCCCACCCTTCAAACCAAGGACTCTCATCTAGAGTCTGGGGTTCCCAGTCCTCGCTCACCAACCCCTTCTCAACCTGTTCTCTATGCCACTCCGCCAACTTGGGCTTGACAACGTGCTCAACATGCCACGTCCCTTTATACTCCATTAACTCCTTCTTCCCCTCGTTCAGCACCTTGAGCAACAACCCCGGCACACATTTCTCCTCCCTAAACTCCTCAATCGGGGTAAACAGCGCTTTGAAGTTGAACACGACGGCGCCTGAAAGTGGGAGCCTGCGCAGCGTCTGCCAGTCTACGCGGAGGTGGATGCGCGATACGGGGAGTTCAGAGGCGGGAAGTTGTTGCTTGCGGACGGCCTCGTGGGGGTCGCCGGGGGGCATGTAGAGGGGTGTGTCGATTTCTAGGCCCCAGGAGCCGCGTTGAATGGGTTTGTCTGTCGGCTTTTTGGCGAAGTATCTGTGGTATTGGGGTTAGCATGAGATAGTGGAGAGTGTTGAGGTAACGTACCTGTCCATGGAGAACTGCATCTTCTCCTTGTAGTCTGGAATGGGTTTGTGTATGTCGGCGAGTTCGAGACTGATCTTCGAGCCTACGTTCCAACCGAGCGCACTGCATATGATGCCTGCGCGGAACACGTATAGTCCTGTCTTCTCGTTTCGTAGCATGATGGCGAAGTCTTCGGGGATGTTGTTCAGGAGAACGTGCAAGGGTGGCGTGGTGGTGAGATCGGTGTCTTTCTTTAGTATGCCATTGTGAAATGTCTTGTTGTCTGCTGATAAGTGGAAGTAATGTGGGTACCTGGCGCACACGAATTGCAGTACCATCTCCATGAGTTCTTTGCAGGCAAGCTCCGAGCCTGGTAGAGCCTGAAGGACTGCTTCGCCGTGCTTTGCGAATAGAGATTTCCGTTGCTTGATTCGCTCTTCGTATGTGTTCTCGAGTTCGATCCACCAGTCAGGTTGCAATTTGGTAATTGCTATTGATGATCAGTAGGTATGGGACGGGGTACAGCTATCAATACTACTCACACATCGTTTGATGGTAAGACCACCGAAACGGTCTATAAGGCCGGGGCAGTGCCTTTCTGATATCGAATTCTGGGTACGGGTTCGGTAGAGGTACGCCGCTGAGTGTAGCGTAATCTGGGAAATCACCGAGGGCTCTGATCTCCTTTACAGAAAAGCCACATGGGAGGTATGTAGAGTCATCGGCATCCAGATATGATGCTTCCATCGGTAAGACATACTTCTGCCAGTCTGGCGACAGTTCTTCAGCCTTTTCTGTCTTCGCGTCTCCAACCAAGGCGCATCGTCGTGAGAGTGGGAAAGTGCTGGCGTGATCAATCGGGGAAATGGACACTGCCTTCTTCTCTGGGGAGAAAGACCTTGGAGGAGTCTTTGCGCCTGATACCCTTCGTCCGCCGCTACGAAGCCGTTGTAGGACGATGTTGCGCCTTCCCCGCTTGATCAGCAGGAATACTGAACTGAGCAGAAAAGCTGCTCCCAACAGCAATGAAAGGTTGGTAGCCATATTCAATGACCGTGAGATAATTACCAGGATGAAGAAACAATTTGACCAGCGATTGATCTGGCGCTCTTCCTTCTTAATGCAAGCAGTGTCGGTGGAGATGGATGACGATGAACGCTAAGTCAACGACGGCAGCGATAGCTTAGCTTCGGAAATATTGTGATAGTTGACAAGAGCGAGGCTTCACCCAAGACATTCTATAACCGGAAATGAGGTCTGATTGTCTTATCGTTACGATGCGGGGCGGGATGACTGCTGCATAGATGTGCGAAGCGACCTGTAAGACTACCCTAAACAGGTAATGACCGCGCCACGATTGGACGCAAGCAAACAGCACGATGATGTCTCTCATCAGAAGTATGGACTGTAACTCCCAGGTTGGGATCGCTGTACGCATATCACTACTATGATTGTGGTGGGGCCTATCACCGTAGATCGCCCGCTGTGTAACCCAACGACCCTAACCTTGTATGGTATTGGAACCCCAAGCATCTTGGCGTAGGGCGTAAGGGTAGATATGGCTCTCGTCCAGTGGTTTATCGTCCGCCTTGTTGCCAGTTCAAGCGTTGCGTACGGCGCATCTCGGGGCGGCTCTAGAATTTCCCCGCTGTCGGTAATGCGGTCGCTATCGATACCCCGGACGCGCTGATACCGCTTGTGGTGAAGAAGTCCCATGGCTTGTCTTTCTCCCGGGTACGGCTGTCTTAGTGCTTTGATGGCGTGATGCCAGGATGCAATTCGATTCGATGGACTATCTTGGGGTTGATGTGGATCAGTTCGGTGGGTAGTCATGCAATGCGCGTGACTTTTGTTCAGCCCCTGGATTGGCTTTGACAAGAGCGATCGAAGCCTAAGGCCCTACTGTCATGATAATGCAGGACTAACTCCATTCTTAGAGTTCGTGATGTATTACGCCGCTATGCACTCGTAGAGCTCTGAGGCCTCCACGCAAACATCAAGAGTTGGTATCGAAGACATGACGTGGAAGGATCGAAGATGGCATACATCCCGGACGAATGAGCAGCCGCTGTAAAAGCCAGATACCCTGGCTGCTAGATCTTAGCGTGGGTGAAAGTGTCAATGGGTGTGGGAAGGTTGTAGGTAACGACTGGTAACTTGGCATTCTGCGCTAGGTGCACGAGCCATGAGCCCCACGAGATAACAGTCCCAAGCGTTATCGCCCGGCCTCACGTTGCGACACAGGCCCATTGTTCCTCCACGACCAAGCGCTCCGTTAGGTGCTATAATTATCGCTGGTGGATGCGCGAACTCACAAAACGATGCTGCAGTTCTCGCCCTTCAAGTATTCTTCCATGGACGTGTACTTCACGTCGATGCCCAGGTCCCACGGAAACACGACATCAGGAATGCCCCCTTCGAAGCCAAACTTGTCGAAATACTCGTACATGTCGGCAATTTCGGGACCGTATACGGGTCCCATCGCTTCTTCAATGGCCTCTCGAGGTATCTGCTTGAAGACGCATTTCACGTTGTTCACCTTCCCGAAGATGTCGCACCATTCACCAAGCGATATGAACGATCCAGCGCCGCTCAGAAGTGTCCCTGGTGGCAACTCAACGAGTGCCTTCGTGAAACGCCCTGGGGTTATCAGCAGGTGGCTATGTCGAAGACCAATGAAACTGACCAGTGTCTGCAACCGGATCGACCATGGGGATCTTCCTGTCTCCACTCATGGGTAGACTAAGAACAAAGGAGCCGTCTTCCTGCTTCTCTGGTCTCCAGTTACTTGCATAGGAGCCCAAGTGCAGCAAGCTCGTCTTGGCGGAAAGCTCCGGGTATGTCTCTTTCAGGTAGTTCTCGGTTTCAGCCTTTGCATCGAAGTGCAAGTTCCACTTGATGGTACCGTTGCTCCATTTCCTAGCCTCAGAAAGCGTGGACAACACGAGACGGTCCAGAGTGCCGGCATGAGCCGCTGCTGCATCGATGATAGCCTTGGCTTGAGCAACTTCTCGGTCATATGCCACTTCGTTTGCTGTACGTTTCTGTTCGGCTGCAAGCTTATGTGTCGCAGGATCATTCAGGTGACCCCAGAAGTCAGTGTTGCCGAAGATGACATTTGCACCCTTGAACCCATTCTTCAGCGACTCTAGGTCATCGAGGTTGCCTGTGACGACTTCAACGCCTTGAGACGACAACTCCGTGGCGGACGCTTTGGAAGTGTCGCGAGTGATGCCGCGAACTTTCCACTCGGGCTCGTTCAGGAACGTGCGAGCAACTGACCCACCCTATGCTTAGTTAGTGGCACGTTCATCTGAAATGTTTGTCGATATATTGGCGCATACCTGATTTCCGGTAACTCCAATAACGGCAATTAACTTAGTCATGACTCCACGAAGCTGTTTCTGGGTCTATACTAAGAAGAAGTAACTTCCATTGGAAATATATGGATCCAGAGCTTTATAGCCTCCCAGGCCGCCATATGAAGCGTGAGATTCGCAGTCCTTGACCGGAAGATGACGAACGAGTCGCTCCTGTTCCAGGCGTCCATTCGAATTACAGACAACAGGCTATCAGATCGGTACAACAGCTCTGCTAAAATCTTACACACGCTGCGAACCAAGAGTAGTAAGCCAATCGCGTCTCCAAGCATTAAATACAAGCATTGATCATTGGTCCTGGCTTACGACGTCATTGTACATCTGGGCTGTATGTTGCCGCCGGGCGTACGAAACCCCGCAATCCTTCAAGGCCTCCATCAGCAATCAATACAAATCTGCAGAGGTAGGTTAAGAGAGGGACGGACAAAATAATTACTCCTATAGGAAGTCAGTCACTGGCCCCAGGGCGTGGACCTCGGGAGGTGCATGGCCCACGCTAAGACCTATTAGGAAAGTCTCGGCATCCTTCAAGCATGTAGTCGAATGCAGGGTGTCTTCTCACTATCGAAAGATATAGCAGTGAAAAGACCATTTCGCTTGCTAACTTGTACTCGAATAATGTCCTACAGCCACCCAAGCTGAACAGCTCATATACGCCACTCCTTGCGACAGAGCGGGCACAGCATTTCCTGTTCCATGTGAAGCATGAGCTCCAGTAAGCAAGACTTACCATACACGTGGCCGAATGGACATGGAGCGTGTACTGGACTGTCTCTTTTCCCATCCTCATCCTCCTCATCAAAGTTGCACCAACAGTGAGGGCATCGCATATCCTCTTTTGCAATTGAATCGACGTCAATCACCGGAAGCGAAAGAACGAAGTCGCGTTTGGACTGCGCAAGCATCGGTCGTACGTGCGCAAACCATATCGGCTCGGATAATACCGGTATGCGTATGAAGACATGACATAGTGGGTGCTTCGCCGGGTCATCCACATGATTCCAGATGAGACCAAGGCAGTCCATCATATACTGAACGATCCAGCGATTGCGAAAGGCGATTTGTAACTCGGGTAGCCTAAGAGAAGTATCCATCTCCATGCAAACCATAAATGGAGAGGTAGAGGAGTAGTCAAGTAGCATGGGTGTGCCCGCTACGTACTGATAGGGTGTTATACCCGCATTGTGCATCTCATCCAGCATTTCCGCTAGTTTGTACATGCCTACACACCAGGCTTGCGGCAGCGCGAACCGATCAGGAATTGGTCTGCCGACGGTAGGATGCGCGCTAGGGATAGCTGAACGGAGCTCGATATCCGCTTCATTCAACGTCTCTAGGAATGACCAATGCGAGAAACTCATGCCTTTGTAATTGAGATTGGGCTCTTCGTCTTCGATGGGGGCGACGCGGGTGATGAAGCTGTCTTTCAACATCAATTCTGGAAGGTTGGCTTGACACCATCCTAGTGGACTGATGCCGACTCCGATCATCTCATCGTACATGTCTTCGGCTGTAGTACCAACCCAGGGTGGATGGTAGACAGCATCCTCTAAAAATGGACGCCCGGTATTGTGGAACATACATTTGGTACGCACGCCTTGGAGGTAGGCGAATACGAAGTCGTCAACGGTAAAAGACAAGATGGGAGCTTCCACAGCAGCGAGAGGGTCAGGCTTGCTAGAGGAAGTACTAGTAGGAACTACCGACTCTTGTTGCGTAGTGAATGTGTTTCCCATGGTTCGGTTTAACTTGGTTGTGAACTAATTGCCGCGCGCAGTTGTGGTAGGGATAATCGTTCAGGAAAGCAATTACTTTGACACTATTCAACGTCAAGTAGGCCGCAGGCCAAGAGCACATTCACCGGTGAATATCACCGTAAGGGCTTCGCCCTTGAGCCACACAGTGCTCCAAAATCACCTTCTTCACTTCTGCCTTCCTCTGCAGGCTCCATATATACTTTCAGAAACACCTCGATACACGGTTCACCACATCTCACCCCCAACCAATATATCAGAATGTCATCAACCCCGCCACAGCTCTCTTCTTTCGCTGATGAGTCTGGTACCGTTGTCTCCAGCACACCAGACGACCTCACCGGAGACATGCCTCCGACTACGACAGATGCTAGCCCAGCGCCAACGACATCCAACGAAGAAGAAGAGCCATCCCTAGAATCGCTAGAGAGCGAGCTTGACCAGAGCATGACACTCGTCCCATACGGCTCACCAGAGTCCACGTCAAACGGAGCTCATCCAGATGGACAAGGGCACGTCTTACCCGGCCTAGGCGGCGTGATAAACGAACCCCTTGCAGCGTTGTTCGGAAATGCACCATTCTTCGTCTACGGCTTCGCGAACGCCACCAGCGCAAATCTCCCGACTCTAGGTAATCTAAATACGCACCAAGCTCTCGTTGTCCCCGCGACGACGTCTTCCCACCCTTTACCGACATTAACGAGTTCTTTTGCGCAAGTTCACCATCATCACCACCATCACCATCACCATCAACATCAACATCTACATCACTATCTACATCAACCAGTTCAACTTGCCTTATCCGACTTGTTCGCCGACCAACAGACCGAGGAGCAATACGAACAAGAACAGATCCAAGACGCTTTGCACTGGGAAATGGCAAACTCTGAAGCAATGTTTGGACCTATTCGCCATCAAACTCGAACAACGCGCGTGGAAGTCGCCACGGCTTTCGTCGAGACACTGGACGAAGTCGATATTACTAGTATCGAACCAGAGGATATGAAATGTCCGCTGTGCTGGCTTCCATTCGGCAGCACCACAGACGAGGAGGGTCCATCAATTGCTACTTACCTCGACGATGAAGAGCGGGAAATCACGGAACGCTTGCATGCGAGCTATAATCTGCCCTTCTGCGAGAACCGGCCGGACAACGACCCTGTTAGAACTCCATGTGGGCATGTCTTTGGAAGACAGTGTCTGATCGATAGCTTGGAGACGAACATGATCTGTCCCATGTGCAGATGTCGGGTTAATGGGAACGAGGGCGTGACCCGCCCCTATCATTCCATTTTCGGTAATATACTTCCGTGAAATCCATCATGGTAGTACACGAATGGTGTAAATTTAGATTCTTAGTAAATTGATATATACGCTCATGATGGGTGATGCCATTTTTCTAGTGCGGCCGGCGCAGTGGATGTGCTTCAGTATTGCTGCAGAATCGTTAGCGTCATCTTCAATATCACAAAGGTCATACTCACAATACATATTCGTCCAAGCTGACAAGGCTTGGCTCACTGAAGATCAAATAGAAATACTTTAGAGTTTCCGCCATCCAAAAGCTTTCACATTCATCCAACTTGAGTGTCTCTTGCCCTTGTGGTATTGTGACGTCGGCGATGGCAGAATGGGCGAATTCTGCATGGGTGGCATTGTTGATGGACTCGAACATGCGCCAGGCAGTGTCTTGGAGGGTGGTGTCGCCGGTGATACGATAGAGAACGAAAACTGACTCGATGGCTTCCGGGCTGTGACAATCGTTAGCTATGCATAGTGGCGTGATGTAGCATACATACCGTAACAGAAATCGCGGGTCACCAATCTTAGAGAAGCCCGGCTGCAACCCTACCTCCTTGATGACGTCTTGAACGTCATAATGCTCCGCGTGGATGTTGTTGGAGTAAGAGTACCTGACAGAGGCATGCCATTTCTCCACATCCCACGCGCAGTCTTCTTCTCCAAAGCACGGCATCATCCGGAATGTTTCCGGCATGATACCAGTAGGCATCGTATCATAAGCCCAGGTGCACCCGTCCACTAGCTTGCGAGCGACGTCTAGCTCGTCCGTCCGATTGAAGATCTTGGCGCCCAAAGCTACCATGCCACCCGTAAAGCAAGCGAGGTGCTGGCCGTTGGGTTCGAGCTTGACAGTGCCTGAGGTGCTGATTCGCGCATCGCCAGAGACGAGGATGTTGTCACCCTGGGGGACCCTGGGCCGGAAGAACAAATGCTCTTTCGCTGGCTCGATGGCACGCTCGTATAGCTTGCGGTATTGGTCTGTCAGACCCCCGAGAAGCAAGTGCTGCTTCGGCAAGTATTCGTACAGCGAATCAGTCATTCCACCCATTGTGAACGATCCATCGACGTTGTATTCCTCCCGACCTGGACTGACGAGTATTGGGAATAGGCCAGGTATCTTCGTCCGGTTCTGATGCTTTTCGAGCACGTCGGTGATCCTCGCTATCGCGTCGTAGTACTTCGAATCGCCGGTAAGCTGCGACAGGCGGGTGAATTCGAGTGATAGCGATCCTATCTCGGCGCTAAGAGCTTGCGTATCAGCCTCTTGGTGGCCATTTAGAGCAGCACTGAGTTCTGTTAGTCTGTGTGGGTCGGTAGCATGGAGCAATCATACTTTTCCCAGTCCCATCGGGTGATGGGCATCCTGTTCGGCGTGTCAAAGGCGGCGTAAAGCATATCCCCCAACTCGGTCGCCTTGTGTAGTAGTGCATGGTGCTTCGCCTTGCTTAGATCGTATGCGCTTAGAAGACCCCCTAGGTAGCGGATCGTAGTCTCGAAGACGTTCAGACGCGCGACACCTGCAGTGGTGAAGTCAATCTTCTTGATGGCATGTACGGCCTCCTCAAATTCCTCTTCTAACCCTAGAATGATCAAGGTATCCAGGGTGTCAACTAGAGTTGCTCCTCGCTGTCCGAAGCCGTTCTTGAAGCCTCCTGTTACCGGAGTGACTTCATCCTGCAGCCACGCGTGGGTCTTATATCCTCCCCAACTGTGTAAGAATGCCTTCTTTACAGCAGCTTGTCTATGCAGTCTCTCCGCCTTGGTGTGTTCCGTCTCAATGCCAAATTCATGTTGGATTCTCGGGATGGCGACCGGGGCGCCAGTGGGGAGAGGAGCTAGCGATGATACCGGGTTGCGCACCGGTATGCTCTTCCATTGTACGGCGTGATCGATTCGGGTCGACGAGGTGAAGGTCGGCAGAGGGAGTCCGTTTCGGGCGCTGAGTTGACGAAAGGCAAGGATGACAAAGGTAGCGAATACAAACAGCACAGCAATGCGTCGGATAATGGGGCTCATAATGTCTATTGAGGGTATCTCAAACTAAAATGGAAGAAACGCGACTGCTGCGCGACGGAACACAGGGCCAGCATCCGAAGATGCAAAAGAGCAATTGAATGGAACAAGAATGTATCGACAATACAGGAAACAAAAGAGACAGGCGATATGCAATAGACACAGCGAATGCGACCAGGTGGGATGAAAGAAGGAGCCCCGTGGTGATGCACATGCTAAAGATAGGCTGAAGTGCCGATCCTCCGACCCTGAGCTAGCGGCTCTGCGCGTCGTCATCGTCAACCCATTACCACCACCCGTGGACCACTATCAAGCTCGCAATGTTAAGGAGATATCTCTGGGAGCAGCAATTGACTGCTTGGCTGCTAGCGCAACTGCCGCGGACGGCTTTCTTGTCTCACGTGCAGTAGGCAGCAGTCATGGATGCTTACTCAGGAGACCACGCGCGATGTGAGACTGCGAGACAGCCAGCCATCTTCATCGGTGTATCATACAACGGCGCTCCATTCACCGTGTGTAATATGAAGTCTGCGTATCGCCATGTCAGCAAGGTTCCGGGAATTTTGCGTCGTTGAAAGCTATATGGGCCACGAGCTTCGCACCTTCTGCTTTCATCATCTCATCACTGCGCGCTAAGTTACCTCAAGAACAACAAACCTTACATTGGCAGGATGTTTACACTGTTCGGAGATCGCGCCCCTTCATCGCCCCCAGATCCGGCCAAACTCCAGCTCCGACCCAACGAATGCCAAGTGCACAGCCTTTCTGACGGGCGCTCTCTTGGCTTCGCAACCTATGGATCTACGAACTCGTCGCACCCTGTCATCTTCCTTTTTCACGGCCTGCCAGGCTGTCGTTTGGTCGGAAGAAGCTGGGACAAGCTCTGCAGGGACATCGGCGCGCGTCTCATCGCCATGGATCGTCCAGGCTGTGGAGATTCGACGCTCGCGGACCGCAGTCTCGTTGACTGGCCTGCAGATGTTGTGAGCCTCGCAGACCATCTCGACATTGAGCGCTTCAGCGTGCTCGGTGCTAGCGGAGGCGGACCATACGCGTTGGCCTCCGCACGCTTCATTCCCCAAAAACGACTTCGGGCGGCGACTGTAGTGTGCGGTATTGGACCCATCGAGGCACTTCTAGACACTGTACCCTATCTATCATGGCGGCTCATGGGTATAACTCCATGGCTGCTACGACAAGGGGCCCTCCGTGTCTTCCTACCTCACATCCTCATTCGTCCCTACCTCACTAGGGACCCTTCCCGCCTCAAGCGTGTCCTCGAAGACCAAGCCAAGACTCCAGAAGAGAAAGAGCAATTTCGCGACAACAGCGGAGAGACCGATCTTGACGACGTTGTCGCATCATTACTTGAGGCTTTCAAGCAAGGCGCTGGCGGATGCATGCAGGATGGTGCTGCGCTTACGAGAGAATGGGGCTTTGATCTGAAGGACGTAGACAGCGAACGGGTTTGGCTAGTACATGGCGATCAAGATGCGCAGGCGCCGTTGAAGGTTGCGCAGTGGATCGATGAGAGATTGGGCGGCGGAAGACTGCGGACGCTCGAGGGCAAGACACATTTTACGATCTGGAAGGAGCATTCGGAGGAGATATTCCGACAAAGCGCTGAGGCGTAAGTACATCGGTGGATGAATGAGTGTTCGCAAGTT